CCCTCTCCGGCGTGGAGCAGCTGCTGCAAGAGTTCCGCCGGCAGCTGCGGCAGGAGCCGGCGCAGGAGGAGCTGGAGCTGGAGCTGCGCGCCGGCGGCGGCCCCCGCGAGGGCTGCCCGGGCTCAGGCGGCAGCGGCTACAGCGCCATGCCCGACGCCATCATCCGCACCAAGGACTCGCTCGCGGCCGGCGCCCGCTTCTTGAGAGCGCCCGCGGCCGTGCGAGACTGGCGCCAGTGCGTGGCGGCCTGCTGCGCTGAGCCGCGCTGCTCGCTGGCGGTGGTGGAGCTGCCCCGGCGGCCCGCGCCCCCGGCCGCCGCGCTCGGCTGCTACCTCTTCAACTGCACCGCGCACGGCCGCAGCGTCTGCAAGTTCGCGCCGCACCGCGGCTACAGCAGCTACAGCCTCAGCCGCGCAGCAAAGGCGGAGCCAGGAGCCCTGGCAGCCAGCGCCCCGGCCGCCGCCGCCTCGCCTCCGCTCGGTAAGCGCGCGGCTGCATGGCCGACGGGGTCTGTTGTCCTTGCACCTGTTGGGTGTCTGGAGACCTGCCTAGGTAGGACCGCTGGGCCCTCCTCAGCCATGTTAGGTACGAAACACACTCATTGCAAGTTGTTCCAGAACAGTGTCTGGTTTCCCAGTCTTCGGGGTGGTTTCTGAAAAACCCCAGTAGACTGGCAGAAGCAGGCACAGTGGACTGCTTCCGGAATTTTTCAAGGCTTGGGGAGGGAGATTGCTCTAAGAAGATTCACGGACATTCGAATTAAAGAAAGTGAAAAGCTCAGAGCAAAAAAAGAAGAAGATAAGTGTTTTAGTCTCAGGGGTTTTTATAAGGCATGCTTTGTGTCAAATAATTGCAAGAGCAAAATCTAATTAGATGCGGAGTTGCTCATAACACCCACCTCTATTCCTTAGCGTGACTCTCACGGATTCTTATAATTTCACCCGTAGTTGCTTTCATCAGACAAAAATAGGAAGGAAAATGTGTCAGGTATTCTTGAAATGAAGCCCAAGTAATTCCCATGAACTACTGTTCTCTTTTATAAAGAGTGAAAAGAAAAACTTGGTTTTGGTTAAAAATAAGGAGGTTTAAGTAAGGCACATCTGTTTTTTAAAAAAAGCTAGAAATGATACTTTTAATTTGGTGGTTTTATTTTATACAGATGCTCTGAGAATCAATACTTATACAGGAGGCACAAAACATTGTAGCTGTTACAGATGAACATTACTAAGGGAATAAAACCTTGATTGGGCCTGCTTGTGGTCCAGCTGGGTGTCTTTGACTCACACTCTGATGCTGTTTGACTTGTAATAACACAAGAGTGACATCATTAGATCGTTAGCAATATCAGAGGGAGGAGGTGGGGGGAGTCCCACCTGCTTTGGAAATAGGGAGGAGATTCTCCAGTACTCTGTGGGTTGAATGAGAAGGGGCTGGCAGTCTTTGACCATCATGCCCTGCCTCCCTCCCCCACCTCCAGGAAGAGGAGGCTCAGAACCCTTGTCAGGGGAGCAGACATCAGAAGGTCACCCTCCAGATGCCTAGCCTTGAGGCAAACACTGGGAAGGACCAGCTGACCAAGTAGTCCCCTAAGTTTTCTCTCTGAACTGGGGGGGAGATGGCACTTTCACTTGGACCCCTACCAGCATCCTTGAGCCCTGCCTCATGCCTGTTACACGCACATCCTTCCTCTGTGCCCAGATGCGAACAAAAAATCACAGCAGCAAAGAAACAAAATTCTCTTCCCTTGTTCTCACTAGCACATCTGGAAGAAACTGACATTGCTAACGGGAACTTTGCTGCAAACCAGGGGAAAAACAAAAGGAAAATAAGGAAAGAATACCCACATAAAAAACTTAGTTTACTAGTAGAAGTTTCTGAGTTGTTTTTCCTTCACTTTCTTCCTTGCTCTCCACTTCCAGAGGAGGAATCTGTCTAGGAATTCCAGTTTGTCATGTTCAGGGGTAAAAATAGGTGCCCACTGGGGTTGGTACTAATTTCTGGGAGAACCTTGCCATGCTCAAGCTTCTTCAGGATCTCTAGCAAAGTGGAAATGTGGAAGGATACAGTCAGGCTCAGAGGCACACTGACTCTAGAGTTGGGGCAAAGGTCATTTCCCCAGTGTCCTGTCTTTCCCTGCCCAGGTACTTAACCTGTTGAAGTTTCGTGTGAGACAGCTAACTTTTTCCTTCTTGCGTTGTTCTTTCTTTTTTTCTGAATCTTGTGAGCATGTGGAGTTGGAGGCTAAAAGACCGTTGAATGGTTTAGGAAAGCTCTTACAGAGAATTTGTTGTGGGGTTATTTGAGGTGAATAAAAAGATCATGAAGAAATGGTGAGGGACCAGTTGGGATGGGATAGCACAAATTTATAGAGGAACCCATCAGCCTAGTGGGTTGCTGATGTTTACTGAGTTTGGTGCTAGCTGCTTTATTGAGTTTGGTGCTAGGTGCTGTTCTAAGCTCTTTAAATACATGAAATCAGTTTATCCTCACAACAGCCCAGAGATGTAGGCTTGATTACATACTGTAATCTCCATTGTATACTAAGGCTTGGCAGATACAGTAAGTTGCCCAAGGTCACAGCTGGTGGAGTTGTGGAGCCAGGTTATGGGCAGCTCTGTTCAACCCCAGACCCTAGCCTCTGTGTGTTTTCTTCAGCAGCGCCAGGCAATCTGGAGGTGGTGGCAGAGGTGAGGATAGTTGGATTTCCCAGAGTGGGACTGTCAAGGTGGATGTCAAGGACGTTAAGAGAATACAGACATGAGTGGAGAATGCTAAGAGAGGTATCTTGAAATGCCTGATCCTGCCTGTACTAGTATATGAACAGGGAGCGGGAAGTCCTAAGACCTGGGTTTGAGACCCAGCACCTCCACACACAAGTCCCTACTAATCCTTTTGGAACTTCAGTGCCTGCCTAGCCTTCCTTCTCAGGTCGTGGTGAGAATCAAAGGTGGACCTGCTTTGTGAATTATAGAGGCAGCGTGCGTGTGCATAATATCATTACAGCACCCTGGTTGGGTCGCAAGGCTAACTTCATGAGTCCCTTCTAATTTCTCAGCCTTGGCCATATCATTTGTGCCCAGGGAGCACAGATCCAGATTCTAGAACCTCTTCCTTGTCATTAAGGCTGTGTTCACAGCAGTGTGTTGTGAATCAGGTTAGTTAACAATATTGTTCTTCTCTATATAAAATACCACCTTGATATGCTGTCAAAATTGATGTCTTATCTAACCTCTGTAGATCTTACCAAGTGTGTTTAGTTTTCAGAATAAATCAGTGTTTACATAGTAATTAACATTGTCTTATTACACTTTTATGATGAAAATTCAAAATTACATTTGTCTTGTTTTCATCAGCAAGTCCAATATTTTTCAACGGTAGCACAATCCTTTCCTCTTCCTGTTGCTGTTAGCTTTATTTTAAGGCCTGTTTCTGGGTAGAAAAGATCTGACTTATTTTGAAATACATTTTACAGTGTAATTCACCTGGACTTGAACTGAGAAAGAAACATACAGTATTTCTGTTATTTCAAATACACCAGTGGTCAGCCCTGGTGGCACAGTGGTTAAGCATTCAGCTGCTGACTAAAAGGTCAGCAGTTCAAATCCACCAGCCGCTCCTTGGAAACCCTATGTGACAGCTCTTCTCTGTCCTGTAGGGTGGCTGTGAGTTGGAATCGAATCGACTGCAAGGAGTTTAGTTTTTGTTTTGTTTTTTGAGTGGTGTGTTTAGAGGATATGAGATGTCACTATGTTCATGAACCACACCTTAAAACTGACCCAGAGAAAAGTCAGTGACTAAACCAATGGTTTTTTGTTGTTGTTTTCCTTCCAAGAGAGTCAGGGTTAATTAGTTTTATAATATGTGGGATAGTAAAACACTTAATTGAGTCTCCCATTTTAAATCTTCGGAGTTTTTACTTAGGTTCTTATTATTATTAATTGCTGTTTATCTCTTATGGTCATATTTTAGTTTGCCTACTTAAAAAAGTAGCATTTTAAAATAAATTTTAACATAAATAGCTGCTAACTGTAATGTCTAACTGCTGAATTGTCAGATGCTTTCCAGAATTATAAGGTAGTGTAATTGGAACTTCATTTCAGTTGGAACTTGCATTGTGTGGAAAGCAATGAGCCTTTCAGAACCAAAGGAAAGGTCAGCACGCACTGTAAAGGGCATTGGTAGTCCAGATGTCATCTCTTCTTACCTGGAGAAGTAGACTAAAGACATTAGGCACTGGATCTTTGCTCAGAGCCCTAAAAAGAAGAACAAGTTTCTTCTTAACACGAGGTTGCTGACTTGGCTTATTTTAAATCAGTTATTAGTCCCCATTGTTTTAAATGACCGTAAATGGGACTTATCTTCTCAATAGACGCAAACTCCTTGGCAATAGCCTATCTCCCTGCAAGGGTGCTTATTCTTTATAATGTGCCTTTTAAAAGCACCAGCATTCTCATCCAGAAAAGCTAGTGCTCTCCCAGCCATGTACTCACGTGAGAGGATCCTTAGTTGAGAAGATGAGGCTGGAGGGCTGGGCCCTGGAACATCCAAAGGGAATGGTGACTTGTTGAAGGGTTTTTCTTAGGTAGGGGAGTGACCCAATCGGATTAGCCTTCCAGAAGAGTCATTCTAGCTGCCATATATCAAGAGTGACTACCTTTGTTGCTAATGAGAAACTATAGGCATGCAGCTAGCTGCAAAGCTCAGGCCCTGGAATGTCCAGGTTGGCCCTTAGAGGTTTACTTAGTTGACAAATTCAGCTGCAGTTAAAGCACCTGTGGAGGAAAGTGATGGACTGGCAAAGCAGGGAGAAAGGCAATGACTTAGCAGCGTCAT